AAGAAGCCTGTAGAAAAGACAAGAAAAGTGTAGCACAAAGCTGCTATATATTTCCAGCAGCTAAACTGAGACAGGACGAAGCACATGAATGACCGCAGGGAAATATAAGGTGCGTTCAGCTGATTCTCAGTATACCAAGGAGCAGTGATATTTAATTACCACTGGAAAAGTTCCACACCTGGATACAGTTCAAAGCTTTCATACGTGCTCCTGCTTTAATAGGAATTCTGCAGGCAACTCAAAAAAGGAGGAGGAGTTTCTGCTCCTTCAGGCACTCAATGCACTTTGTGACCCAGATTCTAGGGAAGTTGCAATGTTTTTCCCTGGAGTCTTACAGAATCTAACAAGATTTGTGTTCAGCACCAACTATGCCAAGTTTGGTAGCTGCCAAATTAGATTTTCTTAGTTCTCAAAATTTAATGTTATTACCCTTACTTCAGTCCTTCATTCCCCATTTTCAGTGAGTTCAGCTAATCTTCTCTGATAGATTGTTTCCCCCGGATGGCTCAGAAAAGGAAAAGAATTATTAAAAACAAAAACCCACCATACAAAGCCTCCTCTTAAAAAAAAAAAAAAAAAAAAAAAAAAATCGACATTACAAGTGGTTCTTCATACAGGGGTGCTATAATTCAATCCGACATAATTAAATCCTAGTTCTCCAGAGCCACTAGATGCCAGTATAACCCAAGAAACATGCAATGAGTAATATAAATTAGATTACCTGTCAGCATTATTGGCTCTTGCATTTGGTCTTCTGTTAATAAATCTGGTACAATTCCTTTTACCTGACTACCTCTTTTTCCAATTGTCTCCCTTGTTTTCATTAGAAGGTAATAAAAACAGTGGAGTATCTGGAATCAGAGGTGAAGTCTCTACTGGAGAGTGTCCGCGAGACGGCCCAGGACATCCCCGTGACTCCTGAAACCCCTCTTGGAGACATTTTTGATGGCAAGTATCCAGAGGACTGTAACAAAAAGTTGACAAGTGTTGCATATGTTATTACCAAATGTGACCTTCTGCCCCTCAGATTTGAGGTAATCATTCAATCAGGTGCAGCTAAAGCCTCGGTGAAATATTAGGTCCGATTTTGATTATATTTCAACAAACACTGAAGGAAAAGGTGGGGGGAAATCAATGAGCTGCATACATGGCTTACGAAGAAGGGCTGATAAGTTGGGGATGTTGAGTCCAGAGAATATTGAACTGGGAAGGATGACAGCAGTATTTCCCTTCCCACTGCAAAAGAGAATTAAGCAGAAAATAATACAGCAATGAAGACTCAAGCAAAACACAGCACAAAAGTTTCTAACAAAGACAGTGAGCATCTGGAATGACCTTACTGTAGTCTCCCCAAGATCAGAAATGTTAAATAAGCATCTGTGAGGCATGATATACACGCCGCTTCATGCCGTAGCATAGCAGGATGGATGGACTAACCAATATCAAGATTTCTTCCAGCTTTACAATTCCTAGGATTATCATGCATGACTTAAAATAACAAAACACAAAAAATGAGTGCTGTTAATATCACAACTTTGACAATTTAGATCTAGTTTTGATATGCAAGTCACCGATGCAAAGCGTACTCCTAGATAAGTATTTCTTGGAATAAATTACCTGAGAAGCAAAGGAATTTGGGTGAGAATCCCCGTTCCACACAGTTTCTTATGACCCTCCGTCCTTTATAGTCTCAGGTCACATTATCAGCAATGCATTTACTAAGGTGGGAGATGCTCCCAACAGAAAGGAAACCCCTTGTTGAAAGATAGGAACTTCACACAGGCACTTGTTTATGACATTTGTCATACATGTGTATGTGTCTGTATATACACACATACACACAAATGCACAAACATACTACAAAGCATTAAGTAGAAGTAAGGTGGGCTCAGAACAACAGGATTTCTGTTGGTTTGCAGTTCCTCTTGTAATTCAATAAACAAATCTGGTCACCGTAACTGTTACACAGGATCCGGAATCAAGATCTAGGTCCTCAATCATTTTCTTCTTTGTTATGTTGCCTAAGTTCCCGTGCGAAGCAGTTATAGCTTAAGAATTAATGTACTCCTGTGCAATAATCATTATTTCAAAGGGAAAAAATCTCTCAGTGAAGTGTTACAGATTATTTAAAATGGAAATCCTAAGTCAACCCACCACACGCTACTCCTGCACGTGTGCAACTCAAATATAGTAGATATTACTCAGATGGAGGTTGTACCAATTGCCAAAGGGCTCAAAGAATTGAAGAACTCAAGGCTTCGACGCTTCAGGAAAGTGAGAAAAATCCATTAGTTTGAAGTCACAGGCTTCACGTTTTAAGTAATATGTTTATCCAGAAAGATTGATCCTGATCTTATAACCCAAAATAACTGCACCCATTTTTGTCTTTACAGATGTCAGCTGAACACTGGCAAGATGGAAAAGATCTGAATCCAACAGTATGGTTGTTGTACATAGTTAAACTTTTGCTCCCTTAATAAGCTTCTTTGTTATTTCCACAATTTGAGCTGGGTTGAACAGCCTAGAGCAGCAGTTTGCCTTCCATGTTTCTGTGCTTTCTAAATAAAGAAAAAAATGCCTTTATATCCTTTCAAAGCTTTACATCTAAAACCTTTCAGTAGCCATGCTTCAGGCTGTACTTTGAGTACAACCTTCTCAGCAAGAGAAACAAGATCACTCAGGGGTTTGGACCAAAGCTCAGCTAACAAACAACCCTTGCTACAAAATGATATTCCTTCCCTGGCAAGGGACCTGAACCCTTGCCATTGGTGTGAAGCCATGAAGATGCACTTTCCGCTGCAGCTTCCCCTCAAGATACACTTAGATTGTCTGATTGAAAAAAAAGGAGAACATGGAGCACCCTGGCTTGGAGGTAGTCACATTGCTGCCAATGACTAAAACTGTCGCGACGTGTGTACGTCTTAGCCAGAATCTGGACTGAGATTTGTGCTTTGGAAACGGAAACATCTTATGCTAACAGCTTTGTACTCCTCAACCTCCCTTCTACTGCGCTAAAAACCCAACCCAGCATTAACTCCAACACGTCAGAGAAAAAAAACAAGCAAATAAAATTTTTAAAAGTATGATTTTACCTCTAAAGTGTGCAGAATCTTCATTAAAAATTGTACATATGAAGGAAAATTGGTATGGGGTCTTGAGATTTTAAGAAAAAGTGCATACTTGCTTTTTAAAGAAGGATTAAAGTGCCTCCCCATCTATTTGCCCATCTCAGATAAGCTCTGCTTCCCCGCTGAAGACAGCAACTCTTTTATTAACGTATTGTTTTAAACTTGTGTTTTGAAGGTCTGAATTCTCCTATGACACAAAGGAAGAAAAAGGACCTGCCTAATTTTTAGGGAGTGGGGAGTAAGGGAGAGAGTTTGTACATTCCTGATTAACTACCAGTCTCTTCTTACTGACCTAGTTCCACATCTCTCCCTCCTTGTGCTTTTTGACATGCTTTTACTTTGGGAATGCCAAGCTGAACAGATGTCATTGATGCCAGTACGGAATGAAAATCCAGGAGTTCCAACAGCCAGAGAAGAGACATCACAACACAAAATAAAAATACTGAGAAATAACTACAAATGATACAAATCTTGTACAAAAATTGCCCACGAACAGCAAATGAACCTTGAACTTTGGCCAATACAAATCAATTTCTGAAAACTTCTCTGAATTCAAACAAAGAACCTCTATGGAAAAACTAAGCGAGGCTGAGCAAGACCGAGCCATCGCTCACATGTTGGCCAACACAAACAACAGAAAAGGATAGCCCACAAAAGGGTTAAAAGATAGACAGCTTTAATTTTATAATCTTTCAGATACATATATGTAAGGCACAATTCAAAGACCTCAAAACATTAACTAGAGAATCTTTACTCGTCAGCAACAACTGCCTCTTAACAGCTGCCCTACTGAAAACAAAATGTAGAATATATCTTCCTTAAAAATAGACGAACAAACAAACAAGATAGAACTTGATAAAACCTCTTTAGAACAATCTTAACGAGACCAAAACAAATTTAAGGTTGTTCTTTTCACCTATCAGGGAATAGGTTACCATGAAACAACCACTGCGTGCAATGTACATAGAACTGGCACTAAAATGGCACATGTTTGTACAAAATAAAACCTTAAATCATACAATATGATTTTTGCTCCAGAAATTAGAGTATCATAAGCAGAAAGAATGACTTGTCAATCACTGATTAGCGAGAGTGCTTAAAAATCCTTAACAGATGGTAAACAAGCTCGATCTTTTTTTCTTTGGTATTTATTACATTTATATTATTTTTGAGTGAAAGGAAAGATCTGGAAAGTGAACTTTAGAAATAACACAGCATTAGGAAAAATACTTCTTGCTACGTGTACTTTTTTGAGGGGAAAGGATACTTTAAAGCAAAAACTTGAAAATAGCAGCTTTAAAAACAAAACACACACAAAACAAAAAGCCCGCAATGCTCCATTTAGTCATTTCCACCACACAACTTGAGGAGAATTTTCCGGTAGTCTCCTGAAGTATCGCCCTGGAAACAAATCCAGAAGAAGAAAAGTTGAAGGCCTTTTTCTTGAAGGATTAAAGAAAGAAGATGAAGTATAAGTACCTTAAACATTGTGAAAAACAACATCCTGAAAATAAGCAAAAGATAGAAAGCTAAACGAAAAAGAAGTACATCCATTAATCTTCATTAGTAAAAATCCCTGCTAATTAGAAGCTACCCTAAAACTCGTACACAGGAAGTCCAAAGCTAGAACAGAAAATGCCCTTAGAGAAGTACTGGTTTAGTAAACTGCAGACAGCATGTAGACCTCAACTACTTCTGCAGGAGCAGTTCCATAAAAATACCCCGCTGAGCCCTCCTCCTGCTGCAGGCATAGAAACATGATGGAAACAGGAATACAGAGTCTCAAAGTCCTCCTGTATTCCACATGGTTATTTTTCCAATAGCTGAGAGGCAAAGTTAACTCTTCAGTATGTCCTAAGATTGAAAATTATTCTCTGGCATCCAGGGTTCTTACAAAAGGCCCCATTAGCTGAATTTTGCCTGGTGCTTTTATGACTAATGCTCCCTGGTAAATAAGTACTTTTGGTTGATGAGACTTGCCAAGCTTTTCCACAGAACAGTTTCAGCTCAGAACAGTTTCATGGGAGTAAAGATGCTGCAAAGATGTTCCACATTTACCAAAACCACATTTTGAATAATTTCAGCCCACTGAGTGGTAACTATCCATTCCTATTTCTGAACTGTAAAATTATTTTATATTGATTATCACTAACAATGCCCATTAAAAAGATGCAAATGTTGAACTTTTCCATCGATGTCTCCTTTCTGCTTTTTCACTACACATTGGGGGCTCCAGGGCACGTAACTGCTGCAGCAGAAGCTAATCTTAACCCCAGAGACACAGGCTTGTAGAAAGGCTCTGCCTGCACATCCTCTGTGTCACAAAGGCCAAGTGACTGGGCAGTTATTGGAAGGAGACCCACATCAAGACCAAGACTTTTTGGCACCCGGGATGCCCTTCCCTATGTTTCCAGGATTTCTGTCAGTCATCACTGAGGTGCGTTGTTTTCATCTATTAAGAATTAAGTAGGGGTTGGGCAGATTTGGCATGTTCATTACAAAGTGAATGAAAACAGCACCGCTCTTTCACCTGCAGCTCTAACATGTGTTGGTGGGGTCCTCTTGACTGTTGCTACAGCCCTTAATAGCTGTAAAGGGTGATACAGCTTTATATGTTGTCTACACAGAAAGAGCACTCTAAATAACTTAAGATCCAGTGTATTTCCAAAATTTCCTCCTTTCAAGGAACAGGAGACAGCCTTTTAAAAGCAAATAGGGAGCTTTTAACCCCCCCACAGAAGCAAGCACTGCCTGTTTCATGGCTCTTCCACCTCTACTCTCCTGCCAAACCAGCAAGCTAAGCAGAGTCAGCTGCACAGAGTGCGACAGTAGCTGCCCAGTGGAAGGATCTATAGCCTCCTAGCAGTAAAAAAGGAGGGGAAGCAGAACTCGGAAGCCTTACGGTGATATCCGCGTAGAGGGATCTCCCATACATGCGCTTGTACTCGGCACGGATGTCCAGCAGGTCGACCTCGCTGCGCGACACCATGATGCGGATCAGAGTCCTGTCCTTCGTCCCTGCCCCCTGGAACAAGCCACACGCAACAGCATGATGCACGGGTGGAAAGTTTAAAAGTTTAAGACAACAGGCTTAAAACATAACAACTTCAATGAGACTTAAGCCCATTAAGCATTTTATGAAGTAAAGATTTTCTTTTTCCTTATGGCTGTTTGTATCATGCCATTATAAACTAGATCTTTCCAGTCTATAATAATAATAATGACAACATCTTATTAGCGTTCTGCTCACTGAGGTATTTAAATATTACCTTTTGCCCATTAATGATTTTTCTAATTATTATTTCCAAAGGATCTGTACAATTCATTCCAATGAGTTGTACATGTTTAGTAAAAAAACACACTAAGTTATGCACCTTGTCGCAGGCACCTACCTTCATTGCCTTCTGCAATCTTTCTGCAAAAAACGCTGGTGTGTTCTTGAGACACTTAACTGCAGAAAGAAATAGCATTACAGAAATTAGGTTCTTCCTACTCAGCTAAAATTCATGGTTATTTTTTGAGCTTACCCTAGATTGACTTTTAAAATTAAGTGCTTTGATTTTGCATTGATAAACATTTAATATTATGCAGCTTCCACTCCTTCAATTATCCACTGAAATGAGTCGTAATCCAAATGGCAGCTGTAAACTAGTTAAAGAGCCTACTACACTTGATAGCTCATAGCAAACTTTCTAATTGCCAGAAACTTCCTAGTCTGAAGCAGCCAGAACGACTCTTAAGTCTCATGATCAGATTACTTCTGAAAGGGAGAGAGGAACCGTGGAAGAAGGGCAGAAGGTTTGAGGGGGAACAAAGCTGCCACTGGCTTCTTCTTAAATTAAGCAATCCCAGGCCATGGATCTGCCAAGTCATCTCCTAACATTAAGCAGTGCAGCTGCACACAATAGAAACCTCAGTTTTGTGTTTTATTAACCAAAGTTCATCAGGACTTCTGGAAAAAAATGGTGTGCTTATTTTTAAAGACCAAATTCTAAATTTAGTTGGCACTGTTCATTAGAAATCACAAATTAAAATCCCTATAAAAATGCTGTTATATTAATCATAATAATAAAAGAATCCTTTATTAATCATCAGAATTAAAATCTCTGTATTGCTCCTCTGCTGGGTACCAGGAGGTAGTCATGCAAACTAGGCAAATTGCACAGAAACCAAACCACACTTCTCACAAAAGGGTATGAAAAACAATCACATAAGATCAAGATAGAACAAAAGGGGCAAACCTAAGAACATACTTCACAGCAATGCACATTCGATATAGAAAAACTATTTTTTCTCACTAGGAGAATGTATGTGGGAAACAGCAGATCAACACAAAAACTGTCAATAATGTGTATAAATCAATTCAAAACAAGCAAGTAACACATGAAATGTCTGTTTCTTGGTCACTGTATTCAAGTCAAATAACACACGCACTTCAATATGTGTGGAAATGTTATTGTAAATTACCATTTGTACAGTCCAGAAAGCTTTAAAGAAAGTAAAATCAAATACGTTGAATTAGAAAAATCTTTCTCATAAAATAAGTTGCACAGAACAAATCATGCTGAAGTCATAAACTGATCTATGTAATGAAAAATCTAATTAATAAAAATATTGTTTAGTGAACACTAGTGATAGTTCGTCCTCAAAAGGGCTATGGCTTTGCCTGCAGGTTACAGTCCCAGTTCTGCACCCGGATTTGCTTGGACTGTCACCAAAAGCAAAGTTGCACTAAATCAAAGGCCACATTTGATGTGACAAATTCGGAAGCCCAGAAAAGGCAAAACAATATATCACACCAACAGAGTCAAACCAATCTGGAGCATTAAAAGGCTGTTTTAATGACAGCCTAGCCAAACAAAGAAGAAAAACAATACATAGTTTATGTAAGCACAAAATAAGCGTGAAAACCGGGGGTTTAAAACTGATGTCCATTTAACAAGATTTTGCTAAAGACTTCCATGGAAAAGAATCTGTGGCTTTATCCCAGAGAGATCCAGAGAGAAAGACAGACAGATAGATATGCAGACAAAGTGGCTGATCGAGAGAGAGATCTCCAAAGCCTCATCTACAATAAACTATTTCAAATAAAATTGGTGTCCAAGGACTTGGGGCCTTGTTCAAGCCCCAAAGAGAACACTGACCACCTTTGAAGGGACAACAGTAGACTGAAGTAGCTCTTTGCACTTCAGAAGTACAGGAGGCACTTGCAAAGAAAGAGCTGGCAGCAGAAATAACTTCAGTGAAATCAAATTTAAGTTTTCTGCACACTAAAAATAAGAGGTTGATATCTAGATTTTGCTTGATTTCTAAAGCCGTCATGTACGTCCCAGGTTCATTGACACAGTGATTGGTAAAAGTTCCCACTTTTTAAAATAAAGCCAAGTACAGTCATTAATTCTCTCTCCCCAGTTTAATGTTCAAAATTGCACATGTGAAATTTAAACCCAACTGTTGCCTGAAGCAAAAGCCTCAGCTGTCATTGTAGGGTGATTTAAGTGCTTTGGTTTATTAACCCTAGGCAACCTCACATGAAAGTACACAGGAAAAGCACAAAACCAGAATTACCACCAAGGACAACAGCCCTGCCTGGTGCCACAGACACCATCTTCACAGCCAGTCCTAGCACATACCGGTAGCAGGAAGGGAACTGCTGGGAGGGCACCTACCTACGGCCAGCATGCCCTTTTCCAGGTCTCCAGACATCTCCCGACATATGCTTTTCTCAATGTCCCGGTTACACATCCTCTGGTATTCACTGAAAACTGGGGAGAGAAAGTTTTCACAAGTTGGTCTCACAAAAACAATGGCACAGACAAATGCTAGATGCTTTATTTCACTCGTACTTATCAACTTTCTCTGATGACACAGTTTGCTCAGATTACTTACTACTGTTATCAACCACATTATTTTATTTAAATACCATCATGCTGTTTCCAGCTTATGTAGTTCCTTGCCTTTTTTTTCCCCCCTCCCTTTTTCTCCACTCCCCTCTTCGCTGCTCTAAGCTCTTAGCCTTAGTCCAAGGTGCTGCAATAAGGAAAACAGGGAAATTGCCCTGAGAAAACCTTGATTGTCAATAAAACTGAGATAACATCCTTTCCTACCCCCACCTTTCCCCTCTACCCGGTTGTGAAGGTGGAGTTACCAAAGCATTTCCACCACTATGCACTGATACAGCGTGCTATCAATAGCAATAAAAAAGGGGATAGGTGGAACATCACTGCAGTTGACTTCTATGCAGACAGGAATTACACCAATTCTAATTCTGAAGTTATTTTATCATAAGCACACTTGAAAAATTATGACCTCTACTCCGATCTTTAAGAAAGATGGTCAAAACGCATAACCCCTGTGCAGCCCATTGATCAGCAGAGTTCACCCTGCCTTACAGATTATCCCCATTAATCCCCCGTTATCCCCATTTCACAGATGGTAGAACTCATACACGAGCTGATACGTGTTTTTATCGTCACAAACAACTGAATAAAGTTGGTCCAGACACCATTACCTGCTGTGAGGTGGGCCCTGCTTCTTGCACACAGAATGGCATTGAATTTGGACTCATCGGTCCCCAGACGGTTCTCTCCAGCTGCATATAGCTCCTAAACACAGAGAATTCACACTTGATCACTTATGCAGTCGGGCTGGAAAAACAGTTACAAATTCATTCCCTTATAGCCTCTCCTCCTTTTTATACTTATCTTTGGCCTAAATACTGCTGGGGAAGAGGAAGCAAGTGATAAGTAGCAACTAGTTCTAACCTTCATACTATACACCAAGAGCCTTATCTGCAGCCACTTTAGATGACTGATACATTAAGTACCAAATGCAAGAGCTCCAAACTATTCCAGAGGGGTAAAAAGTTTAGTTACGAAGCTGAACACTATTTTTCCTAACAGAGTTTGCATCCAGCCTCTTATCTACACTTTTATGTATGGTCCAAGATGTATGGATCCAGTGTTTTCCCTTTGCTGCATGGTGAAAAGGAATCCCCTGAAAAAGTAAAGTACAAGTTACTAGATCCAAATGCCCCACTTAGTGCTCAAATCTGGAGTTCCCTAAGATTTCAAGTGAAGGGTGCAGAACAGCTTAAGTTCTCCTCTTTGTGCATATTAATCTAAACCTCACTCTAGAGCTGTGACTTAGTTGTCATGCGTTAATTAGCAGAGTCATGACACCCCAGAAGACCCCAGAAGTCAAGACTCCAGAAAAGCAAGCAAGCTGATGGAATGAAGACAAAATCCTGTTCCCAAAAGCTTCACTTCCACAACAGATCTGCATGTACCTGTTAGAGTTTATGTCCCTTACTGGCCATTAAAACATAAATCCTACATCAGGAAAAGTCACTCTGCCCAAAAGGAAGAATAAGTAGGAATTACATATTCAAATTTCAGTGTACTGAATTGATTCTACTTACAAATTATGAAGAACTTTCTACTGACCTGCACATCTCTTTGGACGAGAGACATGTCAACGTTTGTACTTTCATCTCTGTTACCCTGAAAGAATTTAGAGATACAAAGGTTGTGCTGATGGGCCTCACAAACACACAAAACCAGAAAAACTCCATAAAACAAAATACCCTAGAAACTCAAATTCAAAAAGCCTTGCTTGCAAGTACCTGAGAAAGTGAAATTAGAAGCCGCTGAAAGTGCCCTGATGTGTCACTTCTGATTGCTTCCTCCAGAGTCTTCTTAAATTCTGGAATAGAGCCACAGTCATGAAACATCATTCACCTCAGCTCATCTCCTAAATTCATATCATTAAGTAGTGATCAAGAAAAATAGAGGAAGAAAAATCCGATGGGACAGTGACAAATCTAACCTGCTTTATAGACCCTGTTGAGTTCCTTAATGTGCTCGTTACTGCGAGAAGCCAGGATCTCAATGAGGCAGTTCTCATCCGTGCCAACACCCTAAAACAAAACATACAGATAAACATACACTCCTCAGATACTCATCTTACTTTCACAACCTAGTATAATAGAAATGTAATAAAGCTTGAGAATCAAGTACAATTCTAACAGCAACTTGTCATAGCGAGTAGTTTAAATGTTACTTGTAATAGAAACTTCAGAGCATTGATGCATGTTAAATATATTAAGAACTGTTTAATCAATAATTAAAAAAAGAATTTTTAAAATGTCATCCATACAGATCTCAGGCTTTTTAGGAATTTGTTGTTTCCACTTACTGAAGGATGTGTTTATTTTAATAGGTATCTTTCGCTGTCTATTAAGTAACAATAGTTGCAATCACAATGCAGCTAATATTACTTCATCTGCCCAGCTTTTGAAGAAGAACAGCCACAGAACATTTAAACATGCATACTGACTCTTTTCAAAAACAAACTTTTCAATCAAATTGTTTCAAACAAAAACATACTTTCAAAAAACGACTGTTCAATCTATTTTTATTAAGAAAAAAAAAATCTTATTGTTGTAAAGAACAGCAGCCATCTTTTCAATTTAAATCTCACACACAAACCTTTATAGCTTCCTTGATCTCATAAGCATCAAACATGACAGGCGTCTTCATCATTGCTAAGATTGTCCTCTCAAAGTTGCCTGATAGCTCAGACTTGAGATCCTTGATCAAATCCTAACGAGAAGTATGAACAGGAGGGGGAAATGCATAAAGACTGTGGAGTTTAACTAGAGGTCTTCCTGTGCATGATATTAATAATATGTCCACAAAGTAGAATTATTTCTTTTAACAATGCTAAAACAAGCAAAAATTACCAAACATAGCCAGATAATTAAGCTCAAACTAAAACAGATTGCACAGACCAAAGTGTCAAGGTAACTTTAGCAGAGAAGCAGCTTTATACATTTTATCTGCAACACTGCACAGATGTCAAAAGTAGGTAAAATTATAAACCTAAAAAGGCTATGACTTATGATCCATCTCCCGCACAGCTAACTTGGATTTAAATAAATAGATAAATAAATCCCTAGAAACCAACCTCACCACACGACCAACTCTTTCAACTGCTCTTAAACGAGCATAGGCCCTATTCCCTCTTCCCTCTGTGCTCATAACTCCCTTACCTTTCCATAAGCCGTTTTGAAGGACAGCATGATCTGTTGTCGCTGCTTATTTGAGCGACTTCCAAGGCAATCTATAATGGCCTGCTCGTCGGTTCCTGTATACATACACAGGGGGAATGAGCATGTACATGTCAAGACTCAGCTTCCTTCTACAATTTGCTCCTTCCTCTGCTAACCCCAGCCGAAGCACATGTGTGCCTTTAATGCACCGAGTGCATCTCCTTCTTGGGTATGACCAGCAAACTGCAGATCTACTCCCAACCACAGACACAACAAGAATAGAAACAAAAATATAGCAAAGTTATAATGCTGTTTATGCCTCCAATCATTATTTGGAGAATCAAGGATAACCATGAGCCAAATACCACAGTGTGTATGTAGCCCTGGTACACAGGAAACAAGGGAGAAAAGCAGTGCTGAATTGAAGGTGCAATTCCACATTAACTTGAAATAAATCCACAGATTGCTCACCAAATCCCTTCATGGCCTTCCTCAAGACTTCTGCATCCCTCATGGGGTCAAATCCTGGTGCATCAGTGATTGTGCCTCGGTTTCCATACTAAATCACACAAAGGTGAGTAACATATTAGTATTAACCACAAACACACACACACACACAAAAAAAAAGGTGCATTTTGCTGCTTAGGGAAGATAAGCAACTTTATTGGTTAATTATCAACTTTCTTTTTTAGCTAGTGAGGTAACAAAGGAAACTCGACAGAACTTCAGAATTTTGTTCATTTCCGTACTCAAATTCTGAAAAAAATACAAACCAGTTCACTGATACTAAATCTGCTCTCCTATTTGTTAAGATCCCCAAAAAAACTGTATGTACAAATGGAAATATTTTAAGGAAGGCAAATTTAATGAAATTCAAATCACTTCAAAATGTTCTTGGCAATGCAGTAAAAGAGCATTTATTTTTAAACTATGTGAGGCCATATGGCTGGAGAAGGTTATTTTCTGTTCTGCTCTTGCCTGTGTTTCCAATTTCAGCCTTGGGTTACCCCTACACACACAAGGAAAATATACAGAAGCGCACACGGTCGTATTTTAAAGACGCTGATTGCTCTTACTGGAGTCACTGCAGGCGTTGCCGGGCCCGGGAAGGAGGGCACAGACGGATTCCCAGCGGGATAACTGGGCATCGTCGGCGTGGGCAGGGGCTGCTGCCCTGGATACGGTGCCGGCGGCTGTCCCGGGTATCCCATGGGCTGCTGGGCAGGGGGCACCACGGGCTGTCCTGGCGCCGGAGCGCCCGGGTATCCAGGATAAGCCGGCATTCCCGAGGGCGGGTTGCCCCCCGGGGGAGGGTACATCCCATAGGAGGGCTGCTGTCCAGAGGGAGGTTGCCCAAAGCCACCTGGGGGCACTGGGGGATACCCGCCAGGCGCCGAGGGGTACGCGCCTTGCGGTATGTTGGCTCCCCCAAAGGTCCCTGCCATACTGGAGGCCTGCAAGGACAAGCAGGAAAGCAGAAGAGAGAGAAGTACAAAACGGGATGAGTTTCAGCAACACGCTTAACATGGTACATGCATTGTACGGGAGATATATGCATTAATGATTTATCAACAGCAGGAGTCCTTGGACTATATTTGGAAAGGCATCTGCAGGAAGTGTAAAAGCAGATATCCTATTCCACATGCAGTAGCATCTTTCCACATTTTTACACTCTGATCTTCTCCTGCGTAAGATCCAGAAGTGCTAGCATTTGATGACTGCAGCGCTCTTACAAAATACCTGCTGTGGGTATCTTTACAGGCACCCTAGGTAAAGCGTGGCTCATTTCGACTGCTGGCTGCCAAATCACTGTTCTTCATAAATCCTCAGAAAGAGGCTTGGGATGCGAGCGTCTTTTTATATATTCCTTACATAACAGATAGATAAAGACTGAATCGTCACTTGTCACTCACCTCTACTCTAAGCAAAGAAAAACAACAAACAAACCAACCACACTGGATAACTAACAACAAAAAGGGTTTTAACCACCATCTGTTATACATTAGTGGCTCTAAAATACAGCCTGGTCCTGCCTTTTTTTTTAAGGTTATGAGTCACTCTCAGCCTCACAGCCTGGTTCCTTATTCGGACTGACCAAAAGCCAGGTAAGAAGCAAAACTAGGAACAGGTTTGCCAACATGGATATTTTAATAATCGATATTCAGTATTAGTGGTTCACTCTCTATTCCTTCACAGAGCAACAGCCAAGTTATGCTGCTTTTACATCCACAGCTTTTGAAGCTAGGTTCTTCTCAGGAAAAAAATAAATAAATAAAGGAGAAAAGGTTTGCTTGCCTAAAATAAGAAATAGCTGTGGTACCTGTTTTCTTCAACAGATGACATTGAATTCTCAGCACTGGACACAAGGGCCTGGCTTTATGCAGTGATTTCTCTTTTTCCCCAAGCCTTACCATTCCAATGCGTGATACAAACTACACAGGTCCCAAGCACAGCAAGCACACATGCACTCACCATGCCGGCCATGTAGCCGGGGTTCAGCTGGCTCGCGTAGCCAGCCACGTTCTCCAGGCCGATCGGGGGCAGATTGGAGGGTGGATACGCAGCACCGCCCCAGGGACTGCTCCCTGAAATCAAAACCAGGTGCATCGAGACAAGAAATGACTTATTTTTAAGTCTACTTCTTCCTACTTATATTTATAATGTAAATTCTGTTAAATATTGGCTGTTCAGGTGGAGGAAAATTAAAAGGAACATAGCTGCAACCTAATCATGATCACAAAGAGAGGCCTCCTCAGATATTCCTAACCACGGCAGCTATTAGTGAATCTATATATGTATTTTAATAACTCTAAACTCTCTCAAGAAGATTCACAGATTAATACTGTAAATACCATATTTTGATCAGAGAAACTTTGTCTTAAATCCCCTAATGACCAAAATCGTGACAATCTCCCAGTTTTAGGTGCTTAACTTGAGATGGACAGACCTCACACATACACAGGATGGAGCACCCATCTCACATAAATCAGGTTCCCAAGAATGCCTGGCTGAGATAGAGTGGGGTTTAAGAGAACAGAGAAGGCCTCAATGAGTCAAGGAAAGCCTCGGGAGCCCTGCTCATTTGTCCACCTGCTTTATTCCTGCTAGACCATCCCCGCAAGTTAACCCTTGCTTACCTGGGGCTGGGGGCGGGTATCCACCTGCTGGGGGGTAACCGGGGTAACTCATGGCAAACGTCTGAAAAAGATGCGAGAAATCGTTTTCTGCACTGCTTCACCAACAATATTACACAACATTAACAGGGAACGTTTCTGCAGAAGCCCGTGGGCAAATTTCAGACATCCGCGCCCAACAGAAACTACACAAGTTATAGAGGATTTTGCCTGGAATCTTCTTCCCCTTTCCTGGACTGATAAACAGATCTAAATTGACCGACTGAATTCATTGGGCTCATCCTTTCTTATTCACTTTGCTTATGAGTTCTCACTCACTTTGTCTATTACACTGGTAAGGATGCATCCCCAGAACCCCTTTTATTGCCCTATTAAAGTATCAACCAGTTTGCAATCCATGCAGAACAACCAGTCTTATTAACACAGAGCAGAAAATCAGCTGAAAAATGAGCCATGCCTTCGAATGAGTCATTTTATGAGAAGTGCTGCTGGCATTTAATGCAGATGTCTGCACAACGGCAAGGTCGGACAAGAAGCTGGAAGGATATATTTCATGCCTACAGCACTGCTGTAAAATGCAAAGGGTTTACAGAGAGGTAAGAGCACTAGAACAAGTTGGATCACTTAAAGCTGACAGGACATTTGTCAGCACAGAAGCACACAGTAATTTGCTGTCCAAAATAAGAGTGGAGTTTCAAATGGGAAGGGCAGCTATACACACACCATACTAAAGTGATTTTTCAGACTGCAGAAAGGTTTTTTAAATACAGTAATGATGAGGAAGCAAGGTATAAGGAACCCAAGGCGCCTGTTTCAAATTAAGAAAATGCCCAATGAATTCGCCTTTTTCAGGGTTATTTTTAGCGACAACCTCCAGTCTATTTTTAAAACCGCTGCCCAACAGTACCCTTGCCTGTTCCCTGAAGCACCGACTGTGCCGGCAACGCAGACTGCCAACGCGCACGCGCTCCCGCTCTCACTAACGCTGCCTCTACGGCCACCCATTAGGGAAGCCAGGAGCCTCAATAAAGCTTTACTGGGAGCAAGAAACGGAGATCACTCTATATATTTAGTTACAGGCTACATTTGCAGTGATCTATACTCCAAACTAGGCACCTGGATTTCTTTACATCCTGCCCACGCTCCTGTCTGGCTGTCAAAAACACAAGTAAACAGACAAACAAACAAACAACAGAGCAAAAGCAAACAGCATAACGACAGTGAAGACCTGCACTTCCTCACAGCATCACTTGCAAAATACTCTTATCCCAAGGGAAAAACAATTGCTGAAGGCAATGCCAGCTCTTACCAATATATATCATACACACACTTACATATAACCTTATATATGAAGACCCCAACTCATAAGGCCTAGAAGCAAGGCAGTATTTCACATTTCTGGTTAACGCTTAATGCAAAGCACCCATTCTCCTCCTCTCCTGGCGGAAGCAGAAGCAGCTCCTTCTCTCCCTCCTCCTGCAGCTCCGCACGCTCCAAAAGGCTGCCCGGGGCAAGCTCGGGGCAGGAGGGACAGGGACAGGTCAGCTCCTGCTCCCACCCCGTGCACGCTGCAACCCGCAGGCCACGTCTGTACTGCCAGCACGTGCTGCTCTTGGAGATGAACCTCTCTGGGGTATTTGGGGTGTGGGGAGCAAGGAGCCGTGGGATGGGAATTCTTTTCCTTAGGGAGTTTCTTTGCTTTTAAACCCATGTGGAACATTCATTTCTGATGCCAGCAAAATTAGAGGAACCTTTAGCAATTAAAACTGAGATTGCTAATGAAGTTAGCCATTATTCCGCATTTCAAAAAAAAAAAGGAAAAAAAAACCCCACTATAAACACTGTACATAAAAACGTTCTCCTCATTTCTTCTTAATATTATGGTTGTCCAAGTGTTTTCAAGTGACTCCCATCAGTTAGACTCCAGGGAAGCTAGATCCACGACAAAACTAACTTGCCGCCTTCAAAGCCCTGTGATCGCCTCCGTTCCCGTACCTCAGCACGTCTCCGTGGGTCTTTTCCCCACCTCGCCAAACACGTTGCTCTAGGTGAGCCTGCCCAGCTATTCCCACAGCTTCAGTGCCCACCTCCCCGGCTAGGAGCCAGAACATCCCACGGGAAGCGGGAGCGAGGAGCAACACTTGCCTGCCGAGGAGCCGGCACTGACGCAGGCCGCAGGAAGCAGGATTCAGAGGTCCTGCCTCTTACACAAACACTCTGTGTGGGAGGACACACCAACAGCAAGGTCTTTGTTTGCTCGGCTGTTAAAGTAGAAACGCACAGGAGAGGAGGAAAAAAGGGCAGAAAGAGGGAGTGCCTTGGAAAAAAAACCTGCAGAAAACATGCTCAAGCTCCCCTCCCCTTCTTGGTGTTAACCCTTGACATGGACCTCGGAGCTCTGAATGAGCACCCAAGGTTTTACCACCACAGCGGGTGTCACTGACTTTGTGTTGCACAAGGGGACCCCTAAGGCACGCCAGCCCTTGCCTGCTTTGCAGCGGTAGGGGATCCGAAATCTGCAATGTACTTTCAATGGGAAGTACAGAATCCTGAAAATAGACTGTGCAAGGCACAGCAGAACATGACTGCAGCTGAGGATATTTATCCTCACACAACAATGCAAATTATACTGTGGTGGCAGAAGTAACGAACAAATGTGTAAGGCCACCAGAAAACTCCTTTTTCAAGGTGTTTTAGAAATAACCTCAGCAAGGACATTCCTGTCAATCCTTGACATTTATTTAATGGCTGCTTTTCAGTGTTTAGTCTTCAGAAATGCCAAGTTCCAATAATTTGAGAACAAAAAGAATGAAAAGATCACCATGACCTACGTTCATTCAAACTCATTTGTTTAATTATTCCACAGCATACCGCACAGAATTAAACCTTTGGCCTTTACTCCCCTGCCAGGTTAATTAGCAGGACCCAGGGCTGGAGGTTGCCTACAGCTACACACTGCAGGGCTCCCCCGTGCCAGGAGCAGAACCTGCTCCCACTAGCAGATAGGCACATCCGACGTGCAGGGCATGGGGCAGACTTAGCACAGATAAAAGCTGGGGCATGCAACCCACTGCCCTTCCACAAGGCAAGGGCAGCACTCAGCACTGTGCTAGCTAACCCCAGCCTAGGCAGCATTTATTTTTATCTTGCTTATGCACCGACTGCAGCATGAGATTTGTCCTTACCTGTACCGGGCATCTTGTCAGCCAGGAGCGCTGCTGTATGGTTTTCCCTAAAGTTTCTGGGTATGTGACTCTCCCTGGCTAGCTTCCTCTATAGGGAAAAAAATGTGGGAAAAAATAATCTAACAGAACATGCTCCCATCCCAACGAGGTTTAATGAACCTCAACTCACGTCTGTCTAATTTAGAAAACATCTCCCACACAGGACACAGCTTTCAGTTTCTCTTTTGGAACCTTCCCTTGGTTTTCATCCAAAACACGTATTTCAAAATACTGACTCACCATTCATTCCTTATGGAAAGATGCAAAAAAAAAGGCACAAATTGAAGGCAAAGCAGAAACAAACTCAGCAATGGAGGGGGGAGGGTTCAACTGCCTATTGGTGTTACAGATAAGAAGCACGGCCGTTACTTATGGCATTACTAATTCGGTAAGGTTATTACATGGCAACGCAGTGCCGTTCACCAGCATTTCTGAATCACCAAAAAACAGATGGTAGAACAGAAGGGATCATAGTTATGTGCTTATTTCTGCAGGCCTTTGTCCAAATAACAGAGTGCAGGAGAGAATAAGGTGGTAAACCCCAATCAGGAATCTTTTCATCACTGGGTATTCCATGTACACTATGTTTCTGCTTGGGTGGTGCAACATTTTTTTATTTTCCTGGCACATTGCTCCACACTTTCCTATGAAGACCACAAACAGCCTGCGTTTATTTATCAGTCTCCAGATACAGACACTCAAAACAATAAACCTTGAAGAATTTAAATGGGCTGCACAGGCTCTTGAACTTAGTATGTAGGAAGACAGGAGTGAATTAGCTCACTCCAGCCTCTTCCTCTGCACTCACCAAATGTTACCTCTGTAGCACGAGTGTATTTACAATACACTCAGTCACAATATATTTGCCAACACGGACATCACACACTTCCAGTACACCACAACAAGCAAAAACCATCAAAAATAGATTTATAAGATATTTAGTAACAGAATGAAGGTAGCTCTGAGTTCATATACAGTAACTCATAGCATAAACAATCATGCTATCATAATACCAATCATTTCCTTATCTGACTAATGCTTTTGCAGCATTCTATTTTAAGCTCTGCTATATTAAGAACAAATTTTTACATCCTAGCTTTTAAGTCAAAACGGGAAAGTATTTCACAAAGCAGTTTGTCTGTGGGGAATCTTAGATACTTATAGCAGAAGTTTAATGTTCAATACAATAACATTCTAACACAGCTGTTGGGTAAGAGAGACCTAACGAGGTCTCTCTTTAGGTTCAGGGAAGGGAGTGCAGAGCTCGGGGATTCTTCGACCCTGAGAGACAACAGAAACAAAAGGCAGAGCAAAGTTTTCCCCCATTCTCCCTGCAAAACTTGCATTTCAGGCTGTAAGAGAACCAAAATTCCAATATCTAGCTCTTAGAGAGAGCTCTGCAAAAAAGAGTTCTGCAAAAAAAAAAAAAAAGGCCCCTTAAAGAGAGATGCAAGAAACCACTGCTCAAAGTGAAACATGCAAAGCCACCTAAGAAGGTCTGTGCTCTGCATTACGTTGATAGTCCTGAAAGTTCCCACTCAAAAATCAGGTAAAGACAAGTTTCCAAGCAGGGTGATCTTTTCATACAGGTGTCTTCTTTCACGGTTTCTAGATATTAAAGCCCCTACTTGTTAACTGTCCAGGAATGCTGGCAAGGTTACTACTCGCTAAGGAGGGCAAAGCAACCGCCTCGCTCGCTCTTTCTGCCAAGAGCCCATTTTCAGGCGGTCGGTTTCGGCTGCAGGAATTGACTTGTTCAGGAAGGACCAATTCGGTGCATTGGCCCAGAGCGCTGGGCATTTCACAGCAAGGAGAACGAGCAGTTCAAAGCAAGCAGTTAAGTGCTAACAGAGACCCTGGCCTTCCACTACACCCATCCGTGTGGAAGCAACCAACCCGAGAACTTAAAGCTCAATGCAGTCTAAATATATATGAAAAATGATTAGCAGTGGGGCAGAATCAGCCTCTGCAACAGCTGAGTAGCACGGATACAATTTCACCCAAATAGAGAAAAACTCCAGCTGCCCAGTTTTAGTCAAAACCCATTGCCTGGCCACCACAAGCACTTAATGAGACTGCCTTTTAGAAAGCTGACACTAAGTCCCCATTCCAAGCACAAATGGTTCTGAGTTTGCACCACAAGTGATCCAACTTCCTCTGCAAATATCCATTAAATTCTGATAAAATCTGCAAGAAAGCATAAACAGGAGAAGTATACTGCAAATATTTACTGCTGCCCTTTGACTTATCTCCACCTGCAGTACTGCATTCTTCCCAGCTTGGTTTGCAGCTGCAAGGAAACTCAGTGTTTATGCAATATGCAGAGACACAGCAACACTCAACCACGCTGCCCGGGGCAAAAGCTACCATCACCATAGGGAGGTCCACCTTAATAATACAAAATAAATAATAACAAAAGCACATGGACACCTCCTTAAAATGCCTCCTTCCACTTCATTATGAGCAAGGTGGGCATTCCCCCTGCTGCCACAGGAACGACGTGCAGGGCCCTGGAAGCCTTGCCGAGGCCCCGCACTACACACACGGCACTTTGTTTCAAACAGAAGAGGAAAAAAAGCCGTAATAGTCAATAGGGAAACTGTTTCAGGAAGAGGAACAAGCAGAGAGCTCCGGAGGGAACTAGGCCACAAGGGAGCAGGGAAGCGGGTGCGCAGGGCGCCTGCCGTCTGCCCCGGAGTGGGAGCCGGGCGCTCTGCGGGACTCCCTGCACTGTTCCAGAAACGGGAGCCGAGCGCTCCAGAAACGACTCCCTACACCACTCCAGAAACAGTGACTCAGAGAAACAGCTCCTAAGAAACACGTTCCTTCAGCTCTCCGGCCAGGACCTGCTAAGGCTGCTCTTCTATGCCAGGGGTTCTCCCAGGTTATGCCATGCGCTCCAGCAGCTCACCAGTCCGTGCTCCAAGAGCAGGTTACGAATATACAACGTTAAGAAGAACGCCAGTACGCACTGAGCAGCTTGCAGGCGGGGCCGCTGCTGCGCACGGAAACGCGCGGGGCAAAGGTTCCGATAAGGCGCTGCCTTGGGGCTCCTTCCAGCCGCAGAAACGCCAAATGCGGAAACTGACGTTTCAGCGCGCAGGATACGTGCAGAATAAACACCCCAACGCGACCGCGAGAGAGGAAACGCGGGGCTGTCAAACGCTGCCGGCTGCGCGGCGCCTCCGCGGGGACCGCGGCGCCCCGGCCCGCAGCCGCCGACTGCGCGCGCGGAGCGAGGGCGGCAGCAGCCCCGGCCC